CCCAGAAACATTCAGTTCCTATGAGGACAGAAATACTCAGAAAACCAAGAAACCACACAATACTTGTATTGATTTGTACACACAGTGTCAGCCAGCTCCAGCTGTACTTTGAAATGCCATTTTTGTATCTGCATGGTAGGTGGAACAAGTACTAACAACTGAACAGCAGTCTGTCCCATATCCTTCAAAAATGCTTAATGAAGAATTTGTTTCATTTTCTGACCAGAAGATCTGCCAAAAGCAAGCTTCTTTCCATTACTGAAGTGTGTATCCTAGACTGCACACTAAATAATGCCTAAGAACCAGCCTGAGATTTGAAGTGTTATGGTTTCTGTCTGTTTGGACCTCTGACTTCCCTAGACATAAAAGCAAACTCAAATATGCAAATAGGCTCAAATGTTTCAGCATTTAATATGAAAAATAAGAATGCATGTCTGCATATGTCTTTGCAGGTGCATAAATTTGTTTTTCCTAATTACAAAATTTTTCCCAGTCATGGAGCTTTGTACAGGACAAGAATAAATAGGACAGCAGCATCTTTACCTCAGTGTGTTCCCTCAGCTCTGAGAGCTGCTCTGTCCTGTGCCAGCTCCTGGTGTTACAAGGGACCAGGAAGGCCATTTGTGAGCAGATGACTCATCCACACTTGGAATTGTGTGTGGCAGAGTGGGGTGAGCAGCACAGGTAACAATATGTGCATCCATTCTCTCTGAAGGTTTTGGAAGGCAGAGGAAACATTTGAAAGGGTAAACAGAGTAAACATTGGCCTCTGACAGCAAGATGAGCATCAAGGAATACCAATCTGGCAGGCATTCCATTTACACAGAATTGTACAATCTAAAAACTATTTGCCTTATATCTCTGCTGTATATTCCCTGTAAAAATAATTAATTCACTGGGAAATAAAGCTTGTAAAAAGAAAAGTCAACAGACCTTGAAATGCAAGCTTTTCCCAAAAAGCAAAGACAGTTTTAAAATAAAGTTTCCCTATGACCCTTGAGTTAATTTATAATCACATCCACAGCATAAAATTTTATTTCTTCTTACATAGGTATGTAGATGCTGAACAAATATAAACAGGGGATGCATTTCTCTGTCAGGGGCTGAACAGATAGCAGGTATCAGATTAAATGCAACTATGAGAGAAGCAATTGCAATCTTGTAAGCCTTTGTGCCAAATTTGTCATATTTTAACTTCCTAGTTGCCACAGAAACTCCAGCCAGACTATTTTCATTTCAAAATGCCTCAATTTCAAGAAGAAAACAAACACATTTCTCAAGAAGTTTTCAGCTGTTGCAAAAGATCTAATTTTCAGTAACAGTATTCCCAAATGAATCAGAAATCTCATTTTTCATCTCAGTGCTAATGACACCCTACAAGGTGATAAAATTAGCAGCTGGAAAGTGTAATCTTGCCACCACACTTCTCAATTTGCCATTCACTTTTTTCAAGCCTGTTGTTCGGCTCATGCCATTTTCTCAACAAATTTCCAAATTGTTTGTTTAATTAAAAGCCCAAAGCATATGTTGCTGACAAGCCTTTTATAACATTTTCATTATTCTCATGAGAGCTTTGTCTACCAAGAAACATCTCTTCTTGTCTCCATGATCGCTATTCCTTTTTAAAGTGTGCTTGGTTCACTTATAAAATTCTAATTTCAACTGATTTTCTCAGATATGCTTATTTTCAAACTGGTTTGATAATCAGCCTCATACAATTTGCTGGTTTGATCTTCTCTGATGATAGAGAAATTTGTACAACTGATAGTGTGAACATTTCATAAACAGAAAACAAACACAAGAGTACTCAACTTCTTGGTGCAGAGAATTTCAGAACTGCTGAGAAGGGGAATGCATCTGTTTCACTCTTAAAAGTTTCAAATCCACACAAAGAAAACATTAACAGAAATTTCAAGGTAAATTAGATCTAACAATCTGTCCAAAGCTTCTTTCAGCTCCTGAAACCATCTAGCTCTGTGACAATAAAGCCCCTTCTACTGCCTTTACCAAGCAAAGGCTGCTTTATCATTTTAGAAGGTAGGCTGGAATATTTTGAGTGGCTTAAAGTTTTTTAAATGCCTTTGACTCTAACTGCAAATTTCTTATGAAGAATATTATCACTATTTTCTTGCAGGGGAATCCCATACTGAAATGATACAATTTATTCAAAGGATGCAGCCCACTGCCCAAGTTTCCTGCTTTGCCATCAGAGATCCTTCCTGCCATGCAAGAATTGCTGGGGTAGACCCAGAGGTGAGATAATAACAGACAATGAGGGGAGTCCAGAGAACATCCCAGCCTGGGATGTATCCATAAAGCAAATGTTAAACTCCCTATCCAAAATGCAAATGTTAAACTCCCCCAATTTCCAGGTAAAAGGAAAAAATTCTCTGTCTGGCTCACATCCCAATCTCCTCTTAGTGAAAGAGACAAATAGTTTGTGTTTTTGCACAATAGGAGTCTAATTTGGAACAGGGTGCTATTGAACAAAAGATAATTGACAATTATGCAATTAGCAGAAAATGTGGTTTACCTAATTCACAATAAAACAAGTGAAGTAAAAGAAGGAAGGAGTGGTTGGTGGCCCCATGTAGCACTGGCCTTTTAATACCCAGGAGATGCTTATTAAAAGAAGCTGCAAAAATAAACCTTTTAAAAGAAGACAAATTGGATGTGTTCTATTCAGCTGGGGGATGCTGATGGGACACAGCATACGCTTAATTTTATAAAGTTAACTCTTCTTGCACGTTTTGTGAAGGAAATTTGAATACTCCTGTTAATATTTTGCCAAGACTTTTTTCCCTTTATTGAAAAAGGAACAGGCCATTATGCCAAGAGGAGATGCAAGGTAAAACACAGAACATAAAACCCTTAGAAGTAAATAAAGTGATCCAATGGGTCCAGAAAAATAAAAGAAAATAAATAAGGAGCCCTAAACTTTCAAGTGTATTTACATATTTAATATTAATGTGAGCATATTTACAAAGATGAATATTAATGATGTTTACATGCTTAGTACAGTTTTAATATTCTGAGAAGAGTGATGCACACAAATAACTCAAACATGTCTCAGATTTAACATATGTGAAAAATGGGGTAAAGTTTCAAATAGTAGATTTTAATCAAGACCAGAGAGAACATAACCCCAGAAGGTTCTGATTTGTTGAATTTCCTTTTCTTCTTTTCCCTGTTCCACTTAGTATTTCACACAAACCTTTGATTTTTCATAGATGCAATAGTATTGTCCATGAATAAATTAATGCAGATAAATGGCTCTGAATATTAACAAAAATCCTGAGCTACACAGCCCATGGTGAGCTCACAGAATTCACATTGGTGTATTCAGAGAGCATTTCCAGGGACTCTCAGGAGCTCATGTTCCCAGCTGTTCAAAGGCAGACCTGGAGCTCTGGCAGAATGCAGAGCCCACCTTTGTGGATTATGTCACATTACTGCCCATGGCAAAAAGGAAAGGGACTTAGTGACAGAGGATATCTTGTATTTTTAATTACATCACTGAATTATCTTGGTTTTGTAGTATCACACAGTCTCTCTTAAACACAAAACTTGAGCACAGAACCCCAGTGTCGGTCTTAATCTAGTTTTACTCCTGAATAAATACATGATTTTCCTAGTTTCATGTGAATACATTTTCCCATTTCTTGATAATTAAAATATTTTCTTAGGAGCTGAGAAAATGAGGTTTATGCAAGAAAATATTATGAAAAAAATTAATTTATTTTGATGTATTTATTAGTCCCTCTGTATTACCATATAAAGAAAATGAACCCAATTCCTTTGTTTACAGAGTAGCTAAATGACATACATTCACATCATTCTTACATCATTCACGGTTTTCATCATTCACTGTTTTCTTGAGAAGCAATAAAGCCACAAAAAAAGCTGGAGCAGTGTGAATTTTTTTCCTTTAGGGCAGACTACATTACTACACTCTTACTGAAGGAAGGGACAGTAATGATCCAGTCAGTACTTATCAGGACAAAATTAGTAATGATTTATAATCCCAGTGGTTTAGAAGTAAGGAGTTCCAGTTCTAACAAAAGTCCTGGTAATGCCTTGGTTTAAAGTCTGAGCGAAATCTGTGCATGTAACCCTCCAAAACAGCTTAGTATTAACAAAAACAAACAAACAAAAAAGAAAACAAACAAGCAAATCTAGAAATCTGAACCAGAACCAACTTTTAGTGTCTAATGTCCAGATATCAGCGTTTAGATACTGGACATCTCTGTACAATTCTGAAGAATTGATCATCAGGAAAACTGTTGAGAAAGGTTAAAATCCCCAACAAATTGCAAACTGTTGGGTCCCCCCCCCCTCCCCAAAGTTCTAATGATGTGGAAGCTGCATAATAATCTCCCTGTGAACCATAAACATAATAAAAGCTGAGGCCATTTCTAACATAATCTCTATCAGCAAGATGCCAGCGCTTTTCCAGATTTCCTAACGGGTCCCTGCTAATTCCATGCCAAAACTAGCAGTGGATTTCTTCCTTTTAATCTCCCCTAATGCCTTATTCGATTATTGTCACTGCTCTCCGGCCGCGCACCGTCCCTTCAAACCCTAATTCCCCCCGTGGAGCGGTCAGATGAGGCTGAACGGCGGCGGCGAAGCCGAGGGACGAGCACGGCCGCGGGCACAGCCCGGTCCGGGAGCGCGGGGCCGGGGCTGAGGAACGGGGCAGAGCCAGCCGGGCCCTGCCAGAGCCTCACCGGGGCTGAGGAACCGGGCAGAGCCCGCCGGGCCCTGCCAGAGCCTCACCGGGGCTGAGGAACCGGGCTGAGCCAGCCGGGCCCTGCCAGAGCCTCACCGGGGCTGAGGAACCGGGCAGAGCCAGCCGGGCCCGGCCAGAGCTTCACCCGGGGCTGAGCCAGCCGGGCTCTGCCAGAGCCTCACCCGGGCCCGGGGGAAGGATGAGCGCCGACACCGGCTCCAGCTGACGGGTCTGAGGGCACTGGAGCGTCCCCGCACACACCTGCGGCATGGCTCTGCTGCTCGCCTGGGCGTGTGTGGCTGTGAGGTGAGTGAGCCCCCACCACCACGCCGACCCCCGAGGGCTCCCCGCAGCCCCGGGCTCTGCCGTCCCTCCCTGCTCCCCCCGGGGCTGACGGGGACTCGCCTCTGCCCGCAGCGTGGGGACGGCGCTGGGGGACCAGGGCGACGGGGCGGACCTGTACTCGGAAAACATCACTCGCATCCTCGACAAGTTGTTGGACGGCTACGACAACAGGCTCCGACCGGGATTTGGAGGTAGCGGGGAAGCCTCGTCCCCTCGGGGAGCCGGCGGGTGGGGAAGGGCGAGCAGCGTCCCGGCTGCCCGGGCAGGAGCGGCTCGTCCCGCACCCGCGGCAGGAGGGAGGCGGTGGAGCCCCAAAAGCGGCGGCGAACAGCAAAGTTTGCCGTGCCCCGCAGCCCCCGCGCTTGCGGGGCGGCTCTGCTGCCCTCAAACAAGGGGTCCCGCTCCTCTCCCAGCCCCTCTCCGTGTCCCGCAGGCGCCGTGACAGAAGTCAAGACGGACATCTACGTGACCAGCTTCGGGCCGGTGTCCGACGTGGAGATGGTAAGGGCCCCGCTCGGCGCCCCTGCTCTGTTTTCCCGGGATTCATTACGGTGGCATCTGAGTTGACCGTCATTAAAGCAGATTACGAGGCTTAATCTCTTTGACAATCTCTAGGGCCCAGCAGAGCAGTTTGGCCAGAGCTGCATACAGCTATTTCCCGGCCGCTCCAGCCGGGGCTGGGCACACACAGCCTCAAGCGAGGGCACGGCCGCAGGTAAAAGATGCCTCTTGAACCCTGAGAAGATGGTGAGCGCCGTGTCCCAGCACAACTCTGCAGAACGCTGCCTGCTGGAAGGACACCGAATGAGCAGCTGCAGGGGAATGGTGCCACTGCTGACACAGCTGCCCCTGTGCTGGGTCGTGCTGGGTGCCCCCAAACTCGGGCAGCCACAGACTTGGGTGCACTCAGTCTGGGTAGACAGAGGTTCAGACTTGGGTGCACTCAGGTTATGTAGACAGGGGTTCAGACTTGGGTGCACTCAGTCTATGTAGACAGAGGTTCAGACTTGGGTGCACTCAGGTTATGTAGACAGAGGTTCAGACTTGGGTGCACTCAGTCTGTGTAGACAGAGGTTCAGACTTGGGTGCACTCAGTCTGGGTAGACAGAGGTTCAGACTTGGGTGCACTCAGGTTATGTAGACAGAGGTTCCGACTTGGGTGCACTCAGTCTGTGTAGACAGAGGTTCTGACTTGGGTGAACTCTGACTATGCATCAGTAGCCCCCAGGAGCACATTAAGTCATGGAAGTGAGGATGGCATTGCTGTTCTCTTTCTAGACAGTGACTTGGGCTGCTATTTTTGCCCTTGTACACCCCTTTAACACCAGCTCACCTGAGCCTGCAATCCAGCCCAACTGCGGGCTCTGAGTAACACCAAAATTTTTCCACTGCTCTTCATCAGTCAAAGAGAAGGCATAATTTTGCATTCTTACAAAATTTGCCCCTGGCCAGGTTTAGCTCTGTTTCCTAAGCAACTTCTGCAGATACCTCTTTTCTGAAGAGTTGTGAAAATATTAGTAAGAATTCTTGGAAAAAAGTCCCAGTGATTAATATTAACTTGACACCATAATCCTATTGTGATGTGACTCAGATCAGTCCTCACTTTCTCACTTTGTGAATATCCAAAGGAAGCTGCAGAAGAGTCACCAAGCGTGTCTTTTTGTTTCTGGCAATTAAACATTGATAGCTTGGTCTTGCACTTTGAAAGGTAGACATTTGTATTTGCTTAGACCTCAGTCACTTTGAATTAAATTAATAGCTATGAGAGTACAATGAGGGTTAGGTTTTTTTTCCTTACTCATGTCCAATTATCTGTTCAATGATTCATTTGTAACTATTCTTTAAATAATAAGAAAATAGGATACATTTTCAGGGATGACTTTTTTAGTAACTACTTAATGATAATAGGATTGAGTGTTTAAGCAGTAAATGAAATGCCATTGACATGTGTGTTAAATTGTCTCATGGAGTTACTGTCCCCACAGCCATTTGGGCCTGCTGACCCCCACACAGATGTCAACCCCTATTTATTTCCCACAGGAATACACAATGGATGTCTTCTTTCGTCAGACATGGACTGATGAGAGGCTGAAGTTTAGTGGGCCAACTGAAATTTTGAGACTGAACAATTTAATGGTCAGTAAAATTTGGACACCAGACACGTTTTTTAGAAATGGAAAAAAATCAATTGCTCACAATATGACAACTCCCAACAAACTTTTCAGAATTATGCAGAATGGAACTATTCTTTACACTATGAGGTGAGAGCTTGCCCTGCTTTTGGTTGACCTGTATTTTTGATTCTATCAGCATTTTCCTACATACCATATTTTTTCATTATCTACAACTGTGTGTTCTAGACTAACCATTAATGCTGACTGTCCTATGAGGTTGGTGAATTTCCCAATGGATGGACATGCTTGTCCACTGAAATTTGGAAGCTGTAAGTTTTTCTGTATCTTTCCGTTTTAAAGTAACACATTTGGTCAGAAGATCCTAAGATATTACTTAGTGACATAGCTGAAATTTTAAGTTGTATTTTTATACTAGAATTTTACTTTTTTGTCTGAGACTCAGACCATTCATATGGACATTGATTTATCCACTGAAGGGTGACTGCTGAAGCATGTTTTGTTGTTTATTATTCTTACACTTCTGGTAGTCAAAGTTGGTCCCTCAATAAATATTAAAACCTCTGCTACATTTACTATATTACTTATAATTTTGAAAATATGTGGTAATCAATTTTGAAATATTGTGGTAATATAATTTTGAAAATATTTAGTTGAGCTGTGGTAATCAATATGTTTGTTTTTTAACAAATTAAGAAGTGACAGCTAGTTCCTCTCAGGTCCCACCACAGCCATTCTCTTATTGTTGCTTTTTTTAAATTTTGTCATTTATAAGGTTAGGAACTTCCTGGAGTAGGATGCATGTTTCTGTGGGCATTTGAGCTACAAAAGGGATTATTCTATATATTTTTTCAATTGCTTATAAAGTACATAATTAGTAATGGTCATTTTCCCCTCTGTTACTCAGATGCTTATCCAAAAAGTGAAATAATTTATACTTGGAAAAAAGGACCATTGCATTCAGTAGAAGTACCACAGGAGTCTTCCAGTCTTCTCCAGTATGACCTCATAGGACAAACTGTATCTAGTGAAACAATTAAATCTAACACAGGTAAGATGGAGCCATGTAGAAACTACTGGTTTGGAACATCTTGATAATAAATTACATGGTTTTTTTCATATAGAATGAATTGATTTATCTTTTGCCATTTTAAAAAGTAAAACCCTTGGACAGATTCTAACCATTGTCTCTTAAAAGACAGCTTTTCAATACAGTCCCATCAAACAAAAAAAAATTTCATGATATTCTTAAGAATTCCCACTAACTCTCCAGCCCAGTAAAAACAGTGCATAAAATGAATATTATTCTGCTTTGTTTCCATAAGGTCACTTTACCTTTTTTTAAGCAGCTTATTTTTATTATGCACTAAGAGGTCTGTGATTTCACCGGAACATATTATGTTGGGTTTAAGCCAATAATGTTCACTCACATGTTGCCAGAATAATGCTGACATACTTGTCTCTTAACAGGTGAATATGTAATCATGACAGTTTATTTCCACTTGCAAAGGAAGATGGGCTACTTCATGATACAGATTTACACTCCTTGCATTATGACAGTCATTCTTTCTCAGGTGTCTTTCTGGATTAACAAGGAGTCTGTTCCAGCCAGGACAGTTTTTGGTATGCTGTGTTAAGGTCTTTGAGCTCAGCATCACATCTACCATTCATTCATTCATTCCTTTCATTACTTGTTTGTTTTAGGGGAATATTCACTCCAGCTGCTCTATTTCCATCTGCAAAGGAAAATAGGCTACTATCTCATTCAGACATACATTCCATGCATCATGACTGTCGTCTTGTCTCAAGTTGTGTTTTGGATTAACAAAGAATCTGTTCCAGCAAGAACTGTGGCTGGTATTTGTGTTTTTCCTTTTGTCTTTCATTTCATTCACTGTATTGAATCTGTTCTATCAATCAGATAGTGCAAGCCAGGGGGGATTAGGAAAGGCAGCTAGTAGGTTCAGTCAGCAAAAGTAAATACTAAAGGGAAATGATAGTCAATTTACCTATGGGGGTCAAAATTCTTGACTCAGAATGTTTGGGTAGCCAGACTTGTTTGTGACAATTTTCAATTGTATTCCACTGTGTATTTTTGTATGCAGAAAGGGACAATTTCAAAGTAAATGCCATTTTTTCAAGAGGATTTTTTTTCCTATGGATTTATTGTCTCATGAAACCAATATGACTTAAAGCTATAAAAGGAAAAAAAATCACATGGAATGGAGTTATTATCTGACAGAAGGTACCCCATCTAACACTCACTCTGGAGTGCTCTCTTCCCCTTGGTTACGAAGGTATCCAAACAACTAACAAGGGCTTTAGATGGATAAAGATCAGTGAGATGAATAATGTCCCTAGCACAGGTTGAAGTTATAACGACAGAGATGTATCCATATTGCATGGCAGGGCCTTTTTCTTTCTTTCCAATGGTTTGAATTAATGCTCTCAAAGCTTTGAGTCTCCTGGTTCATACCCATCTGAGGTTTATACTCCAGATACGATGCTACCTGATTTGGCTTCATGTTGCATCTCTGGATTGTAGAGTTACATCCTCTATGTTTGGAGTAAAACATACTTGCAACATAGTGGGCATGGAAGGTAACTACATTCTTGAAGAGATGTGCAAGTAGTTCTGTAGCTGGTTTGGTAATAATTATATAAATACCCCAAACACTGGAATAACAGCTCCTAGGTGTTGTACTGAAGGGTAATGTGGACGTGAGAAAACCTTTTATGAAAAGACTACAATTAACTCCTTTCTGTATTGTGGAAAAGAGTGATAGCATTTTAAAAGAATATTTCAATCCTTATTCCATTTGTATTTCTCCCAGGGCACAGTCTGAATTTGTAGTCCAGACTTGTTCAATATCCCATGGATTCTGAATACCTTAATCTAAGGAAAAGAGTGCAAATTTCTTATGAGCAAAAAAAACTACTGGTCTTTTTCACTGAAGAAGAAAATTTTAAAATGCATCATATTGCAAATACTTGAATTGTAAATTTTCACTTGTACTTGTAAGTCTGAAAGCTAAGTTTGAGAGAAGAGATATTAATAGTAGAAGAATAATGATGTGCCTAAACCAGTTTTTCAGCACAAAATAATTCAAGGACTTTGTTTACCTCCAAAATGGATGCCAGCTATCAGATTTCAGTGTTTGCATTATGTAACATATTCTTCAAGACTTACCAAGAAGTGTTCAAAATGTAAAGACAAGGGTAAACAATCAGCAGTTGCACAGTTTACCAACTGTAATTTGGTATTCAGTTTGATGAAGTAGCTTTCCACAGTGCAGAGCATTTCATCAATATTCACTCCACATGGAGAGAATTCTTATCTATATCTGTAAAAGAATAGGAGACCTATTCCTAAGTTAAATTCCTGCTGCAGTAAGTTTTTATTCAGACACAGAATATGTCTATTTTATTACTAACTAGCACATGGACAGATTCTAATCTAATCACACATCTTTTCAAAAAGTTCATTCTGGACCTTTGAAATTAAAATGCATCTCAGCATAGTTGTATTCATATAATAAAATGAGTCTGGCAGATTTGGGAGAAGTAGGAATCCTACATATTTCTATACCATCTCCTATTTGTATTTCATTAAAATGTGAGAAGTAATGACATTGGGATGTAGTTAACCTCAGACAGCTGGCAAGCCACATCATGTGAAAGAGTTGCAGAGAAACTCTGAAAATAATGTCACCCTTTCTGGATGCTGCAATATGCTATGACACTGCATCCTTTCCTCTGAGCATCACTCATAGCATATTGCTTCATCGACTCAACATGACCATCACAATATGACATTAAAACATCTTTCACTTTGCCACCTACCCTTTCCCAACTGCAGAAAATAGAAGAGGATATTCTCCACCTTACTGTCTTTAAATACCCACAGTTTTTACATTCTAGCAGGCATAATTATAAGTAAATATGAGTCACAGAGGCTTGTATGTAAATGATTGAGTTTGTTCTTGCATTTTTTGCTTGTATCAGGCAGCAGTAGGAAGTAAGTATATTTCCTACATTATTAATGCTGTACACTCCAACACAGAAAGAATAAATTCATGAATTCATGTGAAGAACACCATGGGGCCCATGAGCTACATGACCAGATTTTCTCTGTGAAAATAGATAAGCAGCTCTAGAGAAGTAGCTTTTCTGTCTTTCCCTATCTGTAGCTAGGGGAGCTTTCAAATCAAGATACTCTTAGTGAATCTTAAAAAATGTATCCAGTGATTAAAGACAACAGCTCAGGGGACCAAAGCATTATTACTTCAAATGTTTGGATCAGGCTCTGACTGTTTTTCATGTAGAATTTGACTGATTTAGTGAGGGTTCTGTAAGCCATGTGTTGTACTACAACAGGAGAAAGAGAGGATCACTGTTGGGGAATGACAATATGTAAATCCAGGTTTCTGCCAAACATTATACTTACTAACCCACCAAGGAAAACCTCCTTCAAATTTTGAGCCTGGATTTTGTTATAGCCATATTTATCCAATTCTAAGAAGCTGTCCCATCTAGAATATGTTGTTATCTTTCAGTCTCCTCAATGCATTAAGGAAGTTTTCCCAGACCTTTTAGATGCTGAATCCAGTACACATGAGTTATTAAAGGATACAAAATACTTAGGAGTCTTGTTGGGATGTAGGATGACAGCTAAAATCAAAAAGGGTGCTGTGCTTTGGTTTTTCCATATATGTAAATTTAAGAGTGTCAGGGCTGAAGCCAAGTTCTAATGCCCCCCATTTCTTTCTCCTGTTTCCAAGGAATCACCACAGTCCTCACCATGACCACCCTGAGCATCAGCGCTCGCCACTCTCTGCCCAAGGTGTCCTACGCCACCGCCATGGACTGGTTCATCGCCGTGTGCTTTGCCTTTGTCTTCTCTGCACTCATTGAGTTTGCAGCTGTCAACTACTTCACCAATCTCCAGGCTCAGAGAGCAATGAGGAAGGCAGCCAGGGCAGCAGCACTGGCAGCAGCACTATCAGCAGCAACTGTACCGGCAGAGGACGAGATTGTCTCGGTAATTGCTTGCTTTTCTGATAATAAGCATCATATAGGAACAGGCAGCTGAAGTACTGAATGCAAAACAATATTAAAGTGATCTTAACCTGAAGCAGATTATGTAAGCAGATTGTGTATATTTATCAAAGACATTGTTCTGATTCCAGAAACTGAAAATACTTCATTTATTTGTAGCGTTTATTTAAATTTGCAATATGATTTTCTAGGGTGATGTTTATTTGGCTAGGTATTTAAGGAAAGCCATTAGACTATTATCCATGATACTTCTCCTGAGCAATGCTGTAGGCAGTGTGGTCAGGCAGCTGTTGTTCCCAGCAAGTCTGCAGAATCTGTGGGACAGTGTACAATGGAATGAACATGTGCATTGGCCAGATTATTATGGAATCACTGTAGTGCAAGGGTACAGACCATAAGTGAGCCATTTGGAAGATGGGTAATTAGCCTATACATAAACTTGGCATCTCTTACTGAAATCTGTGTTGGTAGAAGCTTTGGGGGGAAAAAAACATAAATGAAGGATAGATTTTGGTACACGTGAAAGAGAGGAAGTCTTTCTAGTATCAAAATCTGTGCCAGAATTGCTTGCAAATTTCACTCTGTAAATCTCATGCTAAATTGTGAATGCTGTCTCACAGCATATGTTCAACTATTTATCATTGTGGCCTTCCTGTTTCAAAACCAGTTTTACTACCACCATGATTTCCATTTTTAGAGAAATCGCAATCTGAATGACATTTTGCCAAACCTCTGAATCCGTAATTGAATAAGGGAGTCAGGCTGAGAGGTGCCCAATACCAAGGCAACACCCTACCCACCACAGAGTAATTTTTCCACATTTGCTGATAAATAGCAGTTAAAGTTACAAAATTTAAGTACTTTCAAACTATTAAAATCAAAGTCAATAAGTTTTGCTGACTCTTTTTTGGAGGACAAGCTATCAGAAAAGAAAAATCAAAAAGTTTACCTGGTTTTATATAGCATGAAGAAAATACTGATAGCTGCTACATCTTGAAGAGGAACACCAGCTTGGACCTGTCCTTCACACACTTCCTTATTCAAGTTGGAGTCAACTATAAGGAGGTTTTCTAGAAAGGAAAAAACAAAACAGAAGTACTACTTTTGTTTTCCCTGAAAAGTCCCTACTGAGCAATACAAAAACAATTAGGCTGACTGCACGTGCTGCTGGTGCATTCACAGCCACTGTGGCCACCCCCTCACATTCCCAGTCTCAGGAAAACAACTGATCCAAAAATAACCTCTTGCTTCTGCCCAGATAAGCTAAGACAGGACTCCTCCAGATCTACATGATCTGTGAATCACAGCAGACCAAGGTAGGCACCAGACATAAAATTTCTGTTGAAAAAAATGAATAAAAGATAAATAAGTTAAAAGGCTCAAATTTCTTATCAAGGTCTTCAGCCTTAAACAAGCAAAGAGCAAACTGAAGACCCTCCTTCCTGTTTTGTAAATATTCACTTGTTAGGTTTTCCAAGTAAAAATCAACAAAAGAAAAAAGAAAACATCTAGGAATAAAATACACATCCAGGAATCACCCTGCAACAATCTGCTCAAGAAAACTATTTACATCTAGCTGACAGCATACAGATTTATAAGAGTAGTAAATCCCATAACATTTAGGCCCCAAAGTAAACTCAGTCTCTTAAGCAGCCCACAAAATTCCACAGACCTGGTCTTGCTCAAAGCAAGACAGCCATTTTCAGGCCCTGTACATCCACCATGTTCTTCTCCCAGGATCAGTTGTCTATGAGAACTGCAATAACAGAAAGCAAACTCAGTGAGATCATAAAAACAAAGGGTACTTACAACTGAAGGCAAGATGATGTAGTCAAAAAGGTTTCTAGAAGAATTAGCTATTGGATTTAAAACATTCCCTTCCAGAAGGGCATTCTGGGAAAAAGGAGTGATTATGGGATAAGAGATTTTAAGAAGCTTTTCTTTTTTCATTCCTTTTTTTTTCCCTTTGGTAGAGATAAGGGGGAAGGAACTTTTGTATGTTGGCACATCCATAGATATACTGCAGTCAGTGATATAATTTCATATGAGACAGACCTGAAGTGTTTAATTTGAATGCTAACAGTGTATTTAATACAGGCTGATTGCATGTGTATAACCATTTCCTCTGGACTGTCATTCTTCCTGAGCCTTGTGCTTCTATAACTGCATTACTGATCCTAGGGCAGATATTTTTAAGGCACACAGCATAAGACTCAGTTTCCTGCTAGAGTGAGGGCCCAAAGTCAAGATAAACATGTCTACAGAATATATATATATATATATATATATATATATATATAATTTCAAATTAAATGCTTTTTGAAAAAAAAAATACTAAGCAGCCTTCTTTTCCCTTCCATCTAGTTAACTTTATTTAAAATTTTGCCTTATTCAAATAAACTAAAGTCTCCCACACAGGTTTTTATAATGTAGAGAAAAAAAACTGTACACTCAGAAAAGAAATCTGTCAGAAGACCAAATTCTGCTCCAGTGTAGAATGAAAGTAGGAGAAAATGCTGCAGCCACTGAACTGTGGTGGGGTCAGTAAGAGAGATGAGGCTGTGCCCGTGTGCTCAGCAGGCCTGGGCTGGCTCCAGGAAAGGCTCTCTATTTACCTCAGTTAACTGAGAGCAGGGTTTGGCTTGCTCTCTTCATCAGCTGCAGGCAATCCCTGTGTGAAATACAAAAGTCTGGGTGTTCCTCTGCAGAACACGAGGGCAGCAAGCTGAGCCTTCATCTGGACCCTGACACAAACCTGTTCTTACTCATACTGTGGCCAAGCTGGCTTTAGCATGTCTAAACCAAACATCTTATACATACACATATAAAACCATGATGCCTTTTAGCTTTTAAATCCATTTCAAATTGATCTCTTCTATATCAGTTGCATTGTTTCCTCTTGATGGCTTTCTTTTCCAGGAGATCCCAGTCCTGGAAGTTGCAGGGGAGGGGAATTGGTGATACTGTGAGGAGCACACCATTTGCAGAAATGCTCTGTGGGATGGTCAGGGAATAACCCCGTGGATCAAAAGACATGCTTTCCATGTGAGAGGCTACTTGTAAAAGACAACAGATTACCACCCTGTAACAGCTTGCTCACAGCTGTGTTCTAAAAGTCCTCATGTTTTAACAGAAATCAGCACAGAGCAGTGCAACACCTCTGGGAGAGCTTCTTTCTCCCTCCAGCCTTGTTTCAAAACAACACAGCTTGGGCAGGAGAGGATTCTGTTTCCCTTTAACCTGGCCAGTGCAGAACAGCTGTCACTGGTATAGAGGATTTAGTTTCCTACAATTATGTCAGAATATACTGAGTTTGTTTAATGAATATCCTGGTGTAACAGAGTACTTCTGTCTGGATCAACAACCCCCTTTAGTGTCACCCTAAAACAGCTATATGCTTTAAGGTCTTCACTGACAACATTGAGACATAATCCCAGCAAATTTTTTGCAGGAGGGTAGTGAGAACAAAATAAAGTAAATATAATTATAGGAAAAAAACATATGGACAGACACTGATAGATTTAAGAGCCAAATGTGGCTTTGAAAATTTAAATCTGTTAAATGTAAAAACATATTTTGACAGCAGAGAGGCTCTGTGCCAATTATATGTTTTTTCTGGCATGCTAGAAATAAATGTTATGAAGAAACTCTACCATAGCTCATTCCCTTTGAAAAGAGAATGACCAGGGTTCCAGTCTCTGCTCTCCTTACTGCATATCTGGTTTATATGACAGCAATTTTAATACAATGGGCATTGGGTATTTTTCAGTTATGCTTCCTGCCTATATAGATCTTTAGATTTTTCCATGCAAAATAAAATAGCTTTAAAGTAATAGGTAACAGCCTCTCTCCTTATTCACCTTCACTTGATGTTTAGGCTATATTCTGAGAGAAGTGAATTTCATTTCCTGGAGGTTAAGAAAGATTTTGAACATGGTTTTCCCCTGCTCCAAGTGAGCAATTTAACCTAAGTGATTTAACCCTTTTACTAGGGTAAAAAATGATGAAAACAAGTCTGCATGTTTTTCCTCAGTGTTTCTAGCAAAGGTAATTTAAAATTCCTTAAGAGATGCCTGAAGCTAGAGCTGTTAATGACTTCTAAACTATACTCAGCTTTTGATTATGCAGGACACTGTTTATTGCTATTTACACATTATTTGCAATATACTTTTTTTTAATCAGATCCCACAGATGAGGCACTCAAAGAAGTGTCCAAATTAGGGTTTACAGTGAATCTGTGCCATGAGATGGACACTGAAACTGCACAGGACTCTGTTGAAGGAGGTTCCTTAGTACATGGCCAAAAGATGATGTTCAATAGTGCAGTGAACTTTCCTGCTGGAAGTTGCTGCATGTGGATTGCTCAGTAGCCAAGGAGAGGCTTTGCAGATCACCCTGGTGGATGTAGGGGCTAAACCATGGTTAACTCCCCCTTTGGGAGATAAGTCACTAGCATGCTGTTATGTCTGTACTGGTTGAAATTTCTCAAACTGTATCCACTAATGAGCAGAGGCAAAAAATGTTATATGTTTAATTAGGCATTCTGCCTTTTACAGACACTGAGCTCTGCTTCTAGGTTGGTTTCTGTGTGGGTTTTGATATAAGGAAAGTTCAGTGTCTTTAATCAAATAAATTATGAAGAAATGAAGAAATACCATATTCTTTTTATCTAAACTTCTAGAGTTTATTGTCATGAACCGCTTTTTACTGCATTGCTAGCAGGAAAAAGAGATGGGAGTAAAAGAGAGATAAGGAAGGACATACAGATATTTGTTTTTTAAAGTTAGCCAGTATCTGGGTTGCAAATATAAGAGACTGATGTTACTGTTAGATCATAAACTAAACTGATAGTGAGAATATGCATTTGCAGTGCAAAGCAACAGAGAAGAGAATTCTACAAATATGAATTACAGAAATCTCTTGAGGGAAAGAAACATAAGAACAAAGTGCATTCATAAATCACAGTTAGCATGCGCCAAAGGAATCAGAGAGAGCGGACAAAGAATTTTATTTACTCCAAGGTTATGTGGGATGTGTTTTTTTAGATCTGGAAGGCAAGAAATTTGGTGAAAGCCTCCTGAGATATTCTGAGTATAATCAACTTCTGGTGATATTGAGGAGTGTTGTGAGAGAGCAGAGCTTTATAGAGGGGATGAGAGTGCTGTGTGAGCTTTGCAGGGGATGAGACAGCTTGGCTGCAAAGCTCAGTGAGAAGGCAGACTGTGCCTTACAGGCCATCTCCATACCAGTGCACTGTGGTGGTGTCACATTCAACAATGGACTGGCAATCTGCTCTGTGTCACTGCCTGCTCAGACAGAGCTGCAAGTTTAATTGCCTGATGGGACTAACATTCCACATGAGTGCAAGAGTACCTCTGAATCAAGGTTCAGTAACTCCAGAAAATCCATTATTTCCTTACGACACAGTGTGCTGTGCCTCAGGCTTCTTGTTCTTGCTGCTTGTAAAACAGTCCTTACTTGAGTGATTGGCTCTGGGAGCTATGCAAAATAGGCTATTCATTTCCATTTTCTCTGTTTTGTTAACATTTCATGATGTTATTGTATGTAATCGTTGTCAAAAGGAGAAGTTAAATCTAGATACAGTAGACAAATTACTGTAGCTGCTGCTCAGAACAACTGTAATAAGGAATTATATTCTTATCCTCAGGCCTCCTCACTGCCTCCTGTTCTTGGTTTAGCAGTGAATTCCCCCAGTTCTGGGGCAGCAGTCTGGTCTGCAAAAAACTCCCATACTGAGAGACATCCTCATTACACATCTAAGATAAATTTTGGCTTAGAATTCTATATCCTGAGTAGGGATTTAGAAGAAAATAGATTTGACCCTGAGCTTGCTGTTATGGGGACACAGGACTGTTAAAGACAGTGAAAAGAACTGCTCAGGGTGTTTTCTTGAGAAGAAATCACATTGAGATAATCCTCCTACTTTAGCAATCTCCCTTCTATAGGAATGAGATTTAATAAATATAAATAAAATAATGACCAGGATTACACCTTTCCAAGTGCTTATTCAAATGATCACAAAGATTTTCCTACCTCTACATTCTAAATATGTTCAGTACTAAACACCCAATAACCATACACTACATCTGTTCTGCTTACTATTAACTCCATCACCTCAGCACTGTAATTCCTGATTCATGCTTGAATAATCCAGAGTAGAATTTGACCTGCCTTGTACCAGAATATTGTAGATTAAAAGGACTAAGATTCACCTTAACACTTGTATTTTTAGGAACCTCACAGTCTCCACAAAAGGTCAAGTTATTCCCAGAAATTGAAAAACAAGATGGAGAAAATGAGATGCCTGACAGTTTGTACAGTTCTGTTAAAGCAGGGCATGCAGGCAAATGGAACAGAAGTGGAGTGAAAGCAGGAAGGCAGGCTCAGCCAGCCAGTCTGTTCATAGAGGGGGATTATTATTATTATGATTAGTGCAAGTGGACATGGATAACCCTCTTTCTGTTTCTGTGACACATCTGTAGCTCATCCTCCATTTAAATCTGTCTGCTGCTTGCTGTGTTACTGCAAAATACAAAACGAAACATCTGTGTTCCACATAGGCACAGAGCAGGAATGCTTTTTAATACCCATTCACAACATCACACCAACCATATCATGTATAGAGGGCAAATTGGAAGTGGTGGTTGGTTGTAGAGGAAGGAAAAGGGCAAAAGGTAAGGGAAATATATACAGAAAAAGTACCTTTTTCCTTTTGAAGTAAGGAAAACTTCAACTCTTCACCTTTTGTTTAGACTCAAATCAGCTGTGAGAAATCCATCTCTCCCTAATTTTAGTTGGATACCAGTCCATTCATTCATGAACAAAACTTGGCATCCTGTTGTGGAAATGTCAATTGTTCTGATTCTCTGACAGTTACGATGACTTCGGGAAGGATAATTCCTGTTACAACTATTCCAAGTCACCCAGGAGACACCAGCTGTGCTAGGTTAGTCTGTTATCTAGAAATTGTGGCCCAAGTACAAGAGTGGAAAATGTATTTCAGAAAATGCTTCCTTTCCTTTTAGTGACTCAGTCATTTATCTGATTGACTAAAATCTGTTCCCATGCTTAGAAATCCTGCAAGATAAATCCCAAAAATGCTGACAGCAGGCTACATTTATGTGAATGGTTGTCATTAAATCAATCCCAATGAATGGCTTTGGAAATTGCCTATCTAATAGCATTTTTCTACCTTAAAATCATTCCAATGTTAGTCTTCCATTTCACTGTAGATGTATGTGCTGTTATTTTGGGAGTTATTTACATTGTCCAAGACTTCCCTCATCTGCTTCAGTCATTTGGTCATCTCGTTCTGCCGACCAGAAAATCTTTGTATTCAAATCCAAGAACATCTGTGTACATTGTGTGATTTTTCTGCACAAGATTTTTCCTCAATAATCAGGGAAATGAGTTTTATGGACAAAGTTTTAGGCTTAAGCTCCATATTAACAGAACACTACAGTACTTCATCTCAAAACAAAGTCACTCACATCATGCCTCTGTATTTTCTCAGCCATCAGATGAATCTTAGAGCTGCTGCCATGCATCCACAAATGGCCATCCTGGGATATGGCAGGAGCAGCAAGGTTTTTTACTATTTCCTCCTATTTGACATTACTGTGAAAGTGAGCAATTGATATCCATTAGAGCAGGCTTGGAACCTGGGGTGGGCCTGTTCCTAATCATTTCTGGAAGGAAGAACTCCATCACTTCTACTCTTGTGAAAGTAAAATAATGGCAATGTGGTCCCAAATAAAACATGTACAAAATTAATATACATGCTAGCCTAGTAAGCTCTCCATGTCCCTGAGTTCTGGCTGAATTTTCAGAAGAGTTTTAATACAGCTTTCTGAAGAGTAATTGGACCTGGCTGCAAATGCTGCACAAAATATGGGAGTAATTTGGTTTCATTTCACCATAAATGAAAATAAAAATAGTCCCATTACAGCTGAGTATATTTGTCTTCAGTTGTATGCGTGGAAGTGCTGTGGGAATTATGAGATATATTTAAAAATGAAACTTTATCCTGGAAAAAACAAGGACAATTCAGCATTCATGTCTCCAGCAGCTGTAAAGTTAGTCAATTGCCTTTGGTGCAGCAGTTTTCTAGCTCTTGCATGACTCCATTCAGCGTTTACTAAACTCATCAATGGGTTCAGCCAGGAAGATTGCACCTGAGCCAGCCCATATTGTTGCTTGGTTTAATCTTGATCCATATCTGCACACACTTCAGTCATACCAACCTACTGCAATTTGGATACACCATTACCTTCTTTCCCATTTAGCTCCATCTTCTCTTTTTCTCTCTTGGAGCTTCCACTTATCACAATGTTAACAATGTGAAAAGCACATATTCTTTCATGGCTTTACAAGAAAGCTTTAGGCCATAAAAATATAAATCCTTCTGTATAGATGCATTATTTTTGTGATTTTCTGATATTGCACTATAGCAGAGAAGCAACAGTAAAATCAGAAAGTTAAGTTAAAAGGTGGAAAGAAATGTAAAGATCACAAAACCTGAGACTCTGTATCCAAATATCACCTTTTTTTTCCCTCTTCTTTTTTCTTTCCCAGCATTCTGACTCCAACTCTAACCTGAAGAAGAGAGTGAACTCCATAGCATCTCAGGCAGAGCAGTCTCCTGAACCCAGCATAATATCAAATACAGCATCCCAGTGTCAACCTCTGCCTGTTCCTCCACCAGCCCCACCACAGCCACCAGCTATTGGAGGTGCAAGTAAAATAGACCAGTATTCCAGGATCCTCTTTCCAGTGGCATTTGCAGGATTCAACCTGGTGTACTGGGTTGTTTATCTTTCAAAAGACACTATGGAAGTGAGTAGTAAATTTTCTGAATACTCAACTATGATATGCAATATGTTTACTTGGCCAGCATTATTTCAATTGTTCATTTACTGTTGCAACTCAGTTCATCAGCCCTTTCTGAGTAACACTAGAATGTTTTATCAAAAAAATCAGCTGTAGCACTCAGTACAATGCAGAAAGGCTGTTTGAAGAGGGAAAATGTAAACACTTCTCTCTAACACATGCTGCACTGAGCAGAAAATGCTCTGTAAGACAGCACAGGATGATATTCTCAGCAAACAAACTGATCTTAAATCCTCTATTTCTTAACCTGTTGAAAGGAATGCTAGAAATGTCTGTTGAAGCCATGAAGTGAAAGAGATAAGAACTTTAATATCCTGAGGTTTTCTCAGGGAGCTAGTACCATAAGGTTCCCCAAAAAGTTTCTTGTATAGTACAAATGATTAATAACTGCAGTATAAAGTTTGTGAATCAAGAGTCCCTAGTTTTGTACATTTCAATACATTTTTCCTGGTTTTTTTTATATATATATCATACTGTCTTATGCAAATAAACCTGAAAAATCTTTTCTTAAGTTTCTTTGAATCAGGCAGAGAGTGATTACACCTTTAGATATCCATGAGGTCCAGAAAAGACATGTGCCCTGCAAATTGAGCATGTCTAGAATAATCAGTCAGTAATCAGTCATTAAACTTTAACTCTTTAATGCTTTAAATCTCTATTTTTTCCCCTTTTTACCTAAATAAAGTTAATAGTGTCCTACTTCCTTGGTAAAAAATATATTCATTTTCCTCGTTGCTATAAAGTTTTGGATCTCACTGTACATTGCAGTCAATTTGATTGGTACATTTAGTTTATTTAGGACAGCTAGGAGATAATGATGGTATTTAGATAGCACCAAATGCACAAAGTCCCTACATCAATAGAAACAGAGGCTGGAAATCTGGTATGAGTGGGGATCAGGCTGTACCTTTATTTCCTAGATCAAGGGTAAAGCAGGCTGAGGGAAATCCTGTGGGCAGCCAGGAGATGTTGCAGTTCAAAGAACCAAGGCAGTGCTGATCAGCTGGTTGGTGGCACCTCACCTCTGCTGAGGGCTGCTGCCCTAGCAGACTCTAATTTTTGCTACCAATATGATCTGAAAATGCTGTCTCTCAGGGATGGGGTGTGCTGCCAAGCAGCTTCTGTGGAGCTGTGAGGGCAGGAAGGTAGGAGACACTGTCTCTCACAAATATTCCTGCAGATGTCTCTCAAGAGGTCACAGCTGCCAGCTCCTGGCCACTCCAACCCTGCCCAGTGCTAAATTTAGCATTTGTGCCAGAGTTACTGATCCTGCTGTTAAAATATTGACTATGTGTGCAAATGACTTATCTCAGAGAAGGGATTGGAAAAGCTCATGTCTGATCATGACAACTTCTCTATTTAGAGGCCAGCTCCTCAGCTTGCCAAGACTCCAGTGATTAAACCATTCACATTCTGGATCTGGAAATATTTGGAACATACTTGCCATTTCCCCTGGTGGTGATGAAATATTTACACTAAACCTCGTATATTAATAATAACATTAGAGCCAGGCTTTTAAAATACTTACAAAATCTAGGACTGAGGGCTGACTATAAATATTTTTAAATGCTACTGTGCAAGCTCACAAACATGCTCAGAAGCTGAGAACTGATGTTCTGTAGTAGCATTACAGAATAACAGAAATCCAGCAGCAAGACTTAGAAAAGAGAATAGTACTGAGAGCTGGAGTGTTTTGAATTATGAAGAATATAAACAATTGTGTAAATTTTGACCAAGCTCTTCTTAAGTTACATTTCTGCATTTGTGCACTCAGTTATAATTAAAAATAATTGTGATATACACTGCTAGGTTTCTAATTCAAACGTTATCACCAGTTGTTACTTTCAACAAACAGGATTCTTTTTGCTTTAAAAATATATTAAAAATATGTAAGCTTTTAATTCCAAAGAGAGAAGATAGAAAAGTTGGGTGAACAAAGCATGGAATGCTTCAAGGGCAGTTAAACTTAATCTTTGGCTCCCTCAGGCCCAACAGATTTAATGTTGTTACTATATAATTCAGCTTATTCAATTTAAAAAGTGCATTTTGTGCATTATTTCAGGTATATTAGCTTTTTTAAGTTACTTTTTTGAGTTCATAGGACTTTCGTTTAAAAAACAAAAGGAGGAAAAAAATCTAATTAATTTATTGAAATAGACAAATTTCCAGTACACCAGTTCTTGCACTGCAACTTTCTAGGATTTTTATTAGTGCAGTTTGGAGCACAGAAGATCATTCACCAATTCATGTGCTCCAACCAAGCAGGTACCTCCTGTCTTTGGAGGATACACAGAGAATGAATCAGGCATTTCGTGGCCCTGTTTGTAAAAGCAGGTTATTAGCACTGGAATCAAAGGTGATTTTTACCTCCTATCATTATTTTCTGGCCAGGCTCTTCCTTTGGCTTTGAAGGGGGAGCAAGAAGAGTTTTTTACTTCATGTTGTGGATTCAGAGCCTTGGCTGGAAGGAGCAGCCTTGTTAGTGTAATGACACAGAGCTGCATGAAACGAGGAGCTCTTTTCTGAGCTGTTTGGTACAAGTTCAATACACCACTAAGCAATTTTCTCTGGCTTAGATAATGTGTTACAGAAATGAAAAAGCCATTTTTATGTGCAGTATCTCATAAGATTTAGGAGAACTTTGGGGACTGACTACTTCTGAAAGTGCTCCTTGGATAACTTTTTCTTCCCCTGCCATTAATAATTTTCTCTACAGGTTAAATATCTTTTCTCTTACTATATATATAAACTAAGAGTATGTAAATTACCCAGATATTTTTTGATTTGGAAGTTTGTATAAAGAAGAAGGTGTTTTTAATAAAATGTACACCTTTAAACATTTGAATGTTATCATCATAGACCGGTTTGGGTTGGAGGGGAGCTTGAAGATCATAGAATTCCACACCCCTTCCATGGCAGGGACACTTTCCACTAGACCAGGTTGCTCCAAGTTCAATACAATCAGATCCTGGAAACTTCCAGGGATAAAGCATCAACAGCTTCTCTGAGTAACCTGTGCCAGGGCCTCATCACCCTCACAGGGAGAGCATCCAGGATTGGACAGACAGCCAAGGTACCTTAGACTGAACTCTGTATTTATACTTCCACACATCCTGCACCAAGTCAAGCTTTGCAAACCAGGAAGCTTAATAGCAAACTTTCATTACAAGATGAATATTTTCTATATTTTACATCAAAACCAGCACCATTCTCTGAAGGAAAAAAGAAATGAGAGAAAAAAATCCAGCTTAAAATTAAGTAATTCACCTGAATGCTTTTTTCACATGGATGGGGATAACATTCATCTTCTGGTCTTAATACTTAAATAAAGGGCTCAATTCTCTATTGGAACAAGTGGGAAAACATTCTTATTCAATAGCAGTCATCCACTGTGCAACTTGATACATAAGATATTTCAGTGTAAATGGGTTTGCACTGGGGAGTAGGAAGAGCATTGCAGAGCATCAATTGTACTGGTCAAAACAAAGAAATTAAACTAGCAAAGTTCTCTGTCTGGATCTGGTTAGACTGTGTATTGGTAGAACCTAATAGAACAAAAGGACTACAAAATGTACAAAATAACTGATGCTACTTTCAGAGCACAGAAAATTCTGTAAGATAGCTGTAAGATAAGCCCCCTTTTCTCTCAAAAGGTTTTATAAGTTAATGCTACAGATGCTAACTATAGTGATATCACTGTGCTATTTATACTATGAAAAAAATAAAGCATCAGAGTTACTCTAAGAGGACTTATTCCCTCTCTATGTAAGGTGAATTAAATTAGGTGGAAGGTTTGAGGATATAGCATCCCCATGATTTATACATGGGGGGTGGAACAGGCACATTTCTATGGTCCATATTCTTCTGTAGGGTACAGTAATATCTGCCATCCACAAAAAGCTCTACACAGTAATGAAAAAGACACATTTGTCTAAATTAGACAAATAGAAAGGTTCTTGAAAGAAGAGCAAACCTTTCTGACAAATGAGGAAAAAGGTATTCTAGCTTTTTATTTTGTCATACAGCATATTTTGGCATTGTTTTCTGTTTTAAAGCTTCCTTAGTCCTTGAGCTGAATACTAATTTATGACAGTGACCTTGGTGGGTGAATTGCACACTTAATTTATTTTAAAATTTGCTTGATTTAGAGTGCAAAGAGTCCCCTTTTAAAGAGCGGCAAGTACTACCTTTGCCACATAACTCACAATGCATATCCCACATCATCTTGTGCACCTTACTTCTAAATTCACCTATCTTAATTTTTATATGTAACATTATATTACAGTTTCTCGTGTAAGAAAACATCGAATAATGGAGTGAATCAAGCTAGATAAGGAGATGATGCTAAAATTTTGATGATAAATCCAGAAAAAGAAGCAGAGGCAGCTTTTATGTTTGGGAGCACAGAAAGATACTAAGTCACTGAATGGACCAAAGTTGCTGAGTCCTGGATATTATTTGGATGCAGAGAACATAGCAGGATGGCAGGAGAAGAGTTACATAATAAGTCCAAGATGCTAATGATGTCAGGTGGGATAAAAAAGAGAAAGAAGCAAGAGCAGGAAAAGTATTTAGCTTCAGTACATTGGTATTACAAAGCTTTTAGTGCATATCATTGCATCATTTTTCAGTTTAAACACTGGAAAGAAAAGTAAAGGTTAAGAGGAACAGTCAGTGCCATACATACTAAACAACTGAGCTTTGATGATCCAGGTAATGAGCATCAAATTCTAAGAGGATTCTCCTTGTAGTGCAGTTCTATTTTGAGTCTGCTGAGAGAGTCAGAAATCCCATGGGTTTGTGGGTTAACTCAGTTGTTGTTAACAGTGGTTAACAACTCACAGCTTAAACCTCTCTCAACTTTTCTTCCAGTTTTTTGAACCTTCAGCAATGCATTTTCGAAATGACCCTCAGTCCAACTGAAGAACAGCTCAAGATTTCAAGGAAATCACTCAAGGTCACAGAGCATTGAAGAGACTTCAAAGGATTTGTCTTTCCACAGGTGATCTCAGTTTTCAGTCAGGGAATATTTTTATTGGACATTACCTGGATGCAAACTCTGGACAAATCAAGAGCTGCAAACTTCTTAGGGATCTAATTAATATTTTCTCAATATTTTGTGCAATGATTCTACTACAGAAGTTCTTGTCAAATTATTTGTTTAATTGTCAAAGGAAAGAATGTTCATTTCTTCTAAAACATTTGTAAACAATTGAATGTTAAATTTATATGAAACATCAATAAAAGGGTTTGGGGTTTTTTAATAGAATAAGGATTGCTAAACTCAGTTGACTCTGAAATGGTAGAACTTGGCATAATTTCAGTGAAAATCTAGGAGTCGTACTGATTTCCAGCATTTGAAATTGACCCAAAACAATGTTGGATGGAAATCCTATGAAAAGGAGCTGTAGTTCTATCCTGTTTTAACCTTTTCATATAAAAGATAAGGGATTAGTTCTTAATTATTTTTAATTTAATTTTCATCTTTGAGATGACACTTATAAAGAATGAGATACAAGGAAAAAAAGGAAATATAAGCTATTTTTTGTGTGCTTTAGCTGTTTGGATACCACAGTGTAACTTTCTTTGTTGAAAGTCACCATTAAAGTACAACCAGACTAATAACAAACAATTTCTTGGCAGGATCTAGAAATGGAGGACTGGAATTTCAGGGAGTTTTCAAGGTCTAAAGCTGAATAGACAGAAAGATGCAGCTACCAGTGAGGCTGAATGCAAGCCTCCAGTTCCAGGGAACTTCCTGGAAGCAGGTCTTGATTACTAGTTAAGGAACAGCTTTTTGTCAGCTGATTCTACTGAACTGCATGGAGCAAACTCCCTAGAAATGTTTTCTAGAGCCAAAGAACTGCCAGCACATTCAGAGTTTAAAGGTAATAATATTTTGTCACTCTCAACACAAACAGTTAACAGAATTCCTTCATTCACCCTTCATCTCCATGATCCTTCCCAGGAATGTACACATGCCTAATCAAACCAAACCCAAGACCAAATTATTGCAGTGTAATGGACATTGGGAGGAGACTGAAGTACACAACAAAGTTTAATATGAAGCAAAATAAAAATTAAGGATTCCATCCTATATTGAAATTTCAGTACGATAAAATTAAGAGAAACATGAAATAATGCACAGATTCAGAATATTCAGGGTCAATTGCTTTGTCTACACAAACATCTTAATTCCTGTGAGGAAATCCTTACAAGCTGACTAATTGATTCCAGTAAGTCACCAACTCTTTTATTGGTACTGTGACCATTTTAACTCTTTGAAGGCCTTGCTCCAGCTGTTTTCCTGCTCCTGTTTCTAGAGCTTTTACTAGGGTGGTGGCTGGAGTGGTAATGGGAAATCCTTTTTGCACACCCTGTTCTCTAACTCTGAAGGGCTTAAATGGAACAATTTTAGGATTTTCCACAATAATAAATATTGTTTGTACAGAAATGTCACATTTGCTATTTGCTTTTTTCTGACTGGCTGCAGGCTGGCACTTGGATGTATTTGTAAGTGCATGGAATTCTATCTACATTTTCCTTTCAAACTGAAGTGGTAAAAAACTTTCCTATTTTCAGCCTTTTTATACTGTTGTAAGAAAAAAATTAAACTATGGATACTGGGCAAATATTTTATAATTTGTAAATACATCTCATTTTGAAAAAAGGAAATTATGCAGTAGGGACCCAGAAGTTATTTTTTTAAATAACTATACTCACTCTTGCTTCACTGACTAATATCTATTTTGAGTACATTAATATCTGTAAGAGTTTCCAGAGGATTTTAAAACTGGTTTATGCACAATATGAAAATTTTTAAAAGCTATGGTAAAACATGTGACACTAAAGGAGCTAAATTTTGTATCTGGTCTTTGCTTAATAGAATTCTGAATACTAATTTTACAGCAGATGCAGAGAGTTACTAAATAGTGACTATTTCCTTGAAATGTAGTATTTCAATGTATAAAATGGTGGTAACTTCCCAATTAGGAAGCTGTATCATCATCTTAAAATTGTTTTAGTAGCTCTTGGTATTTAAAAACGCATTTCAACATCAGCACAAAGACTGCTTATCTTTTTTCTCCAAAGAGCTTTTTTTGTGGATATGACAGAAAAGGGTGGGCTCTCAGCTTTTTGAATGGTAGGAAGGGAATGTGTATTTTTCCTGTTACATACTTTGTAGAGACACAGGTGTAATCAATAATGTTAATAATGTCAAGTTATATCTTAGAATAAATGCAATTTCTTAAAATTAATGTCACTTCTTAACAATCCTGGTTATGGTCAAACACTAATCAACCAAACAAGACAGTAAAAGAGCAGAGAAATAGAAAAAGGTTATATACATATATGTATATATTTCTGTATGCATATATACATATGTATTTCTGTAGAAAATATAAATAATAAATAAATTACACCATAATAAAGAATATATATTTCTTTCTGTATCACAAATTGAAAGGAAATTGAGGGATATGGGTTTTTCCAGTATTTTTGACTGTACTGCAATAGGAAGAGCAGAAGCTAAAGTTGCTCTAAGATGGGAATTCCTATGTGTGGAACTGGGCACTGGGGGAAGGAGATGTGCAATTACATTGAGCTGTTGCACTCTGATGCACATTCTTCACCACCCATTTCCCTTTCTGTGGATCTTGGTTTAAAGGATGCTCTGGTGTCAGCCCACACAAAGTGACCAAATGTAGCTTACATTCAGTTTTAGCATGTTTTGCTTGATCAGAAGTGCAAGAAAAAGCATAACTATGAACAAAAATACAGAATTATTTCATAGTAAATTAGAACCTGTGATAACATGTAAATCTTTATTATTCTTCATCTGGGCTCTACCCCTCCTCCCCCATTTTTTTTCATAATTTCTAAGCCAAATGAGAACCCAGCAGTTTTAAGACATAGAAATTATGCAATGGCCCTCTAGAGCAGCCTTGAGATCATCCACTCCTGTTCAAAGGGTAGTCCTCCCCAGCAGCTAAAACAGGAGCTGCATAAACCCCAGAAATGTGAAGAAAATGTCCTGATAAAGGGAACTGTCCAGTGTTTTGATATTTTGATGCTACCTGTCAGGTAACAAACCCAAGGCCTTTCTCTCATATGCAAATAAAATTCAGAGGTGACTTTGTCATTGCTTAGTTCATTACATTCTTGGTTCTCTTCCAGTTCATGACAAGAGCACCATTCCTCATCTGCCTTCTCTAATGAATTCATTCTTGCAGGATTTTCCTCTAATTGGTAATCAATCAAGGCCTTTCAACTCTCTGCATAAATGATGTCTGTCACCTGGCTTTATGGAGAAATCTGTGAAGGAAAAAGTCCTTATCCACAGTCAGAATGGGTAGGATTGAGAAGTCAACAGTTGAGTTCTGCATCACTGCCTCAGTGAAATCATCCCTCAGCCAGGGCTGGAGTGGTGCTTGTGCACACAGAATGAAGCTCTGCAGCTCATTTCCAGGCAGCACTTGGGTACAGCCCACAGCAGCTCAGAAAAGTGTATTGGAAGTAGAAATTGGTGACAGAGCACAAATGAGACTCAGCCATGCTTTGAGATAAGAGTCACAAACCAGAAAGTTTTACCAAGAGAAATGAAGGAATCCAAAGAAACCAAAGCATCTCCACAATTGTCAAGTAGGAAAGAAATTCCATACTTAATGAGAGTCCTTGAAGAACAAACAAACAAACAAAAAACCAAATAAACAAATTCTTACTCCTACCCAAAACCAAATGATATATGATCTTCCAGTCATGGTTAGGGAAAACCCCATACCCATGTATTTAATGCAGTTCTACAAAAGCAGGACAATACCAGGCATCAAGGAATGCCATAAACCATGAGACATGCACCTGTACTAAAGCACTCTGCAGCACACTTGGCTGGTTCTCAAAGGAGTCATTAGTTCATGCAAACAGGATCTGGCCTCAGTTATGACTAGACTATTTGAACCTCCATAAATAAGAGTAATTTCTAATAGTTTAAAAGTATTAAATTCTTTACATGCCTTAAGGAGCCAATAAACCTCCTCCAGGCCATATATAGCTTCATATTTAAGTATTAAAGCAAAGATTTTTCTCCCCACCTCATACCTCCTTTGTTTATAATAACAAATGTTTTTAAATGCTGTATTAAAAATGCCCATTATGTACTTTTTATAAATAGTGAAAACAAAAAAACCCAAGCCATTGTTTATGCCCCCTCTGAAGCCAGCATGAGGATATTATAACAGTGAAAATGGACAAAACCTCATAGGTGCAGGAAGTTAAAAGTCAGAACCACCACAGAAACAGGGAGTCTTTATAAGAAGCTCTATATGGAATGGACCTATTTGTACTTCTCTTCTGCAGATTTTATAGCAGAAATTCACTTTTTATGTTTGAGATCTGTTCATTAACAGCTCATTATAGAGTAGTCAGGAGTATTATTGTGTGCTTGAAATAAATTAAAACCACCAGGTAAATGTGCTCCACTCAGGACCAATAAAGAGCAAACAAAGCTAAGTGATCTTATAATTCCAGCTGCACTACAAGGTAAGATCCACATGACTCTGAAAGCCTGCCTTTATTTTAAGATTGGAAAATAATTTATTCACTCACAAGGTATCATTCCTTTGTGGGCTGATTGTGGAGTCACCAATTTTATAAGTGAACACCTTAATGTTCTGAAATCATCAGGAAAATATCCAGGTCAGTGATGTGCAAGCTAAGACTTTTTCTCCCTGCAAGTTCCATTTGAAGGTGCAGCAATCTCAAAACATCTCCCATGATACCCTTGCAAGGAAAAAATAGTTTCTGGAGTTGCTAATGGGAAAAGAGTCACTGAAAGCTGTTCTGATTTTAGTACTAAAAGGAGAAGGCAAAACTGGACTTTGTATTTCTACATTTCTGCAAAGCAGAGTTTGCTCATTGAGATT